TCTTCCGGGCCTTCTGACCCGCGGCGCTCCCAGCCACCCTTGGGACACCACGGGTCCACAACCCGCCCGGCCCGTGCCTCCCCTCCGGGTCCTCACACCCCTCCTCCCGCGCCCGGCTGAAAGCATCCTTCCCGCCATTTTACTTACCAGGGAGTCGACTCAGGATCTGAAATCAGACACCAATGGACTGGATCGTGGGCAGAAACACACGCATTCGCACGATAGCTCACGCTCACACACTACACGCGCGCGCACACATCCACAGTGTACCTAGGTCACACACGGACGTGTTCAAGGGACAGCACAATGTTAGGGATTTTTGTCTTAAAGTGGACAAGCATCTGCTACCAACCGCCTCATCTGAGGGCCCAACTGCTATAATTTGATTTATCCTATTCTTTCTCTGAACGTCTCTCTTTCTTTCCTGGACCACCACCCCACCTTTTCCCTGTCTACCCAGTTACATCAGTGCAGCCCTCTATTGGCTTGCGAAAGAACGCTTTCATTATATCTTGTTTTTGTTTTCTTAAGCACAACTGTGTGAGGTATAGAAGGAAGGCTTCTCAGGAGGAACATGCCAGTGGATTGGATGGCTGGAGCAGACTAACGGAGTTATGTGATGAAGAGGTGATCTTCCCCATTTTGATAAGTCTTTATAAGGAAGAATAAAACACGTGAGGAATTTTTTTCCTTTTGTAAAGCAAAAGCCACATCTCTTTTCTGGATCCTTCAGGACTGGGGTTTGTTAGCTTCCTTTTCTGTTTTTCTCTTCTCGCTGCTCTGTGCCCTTGGTTGTTTTGTGGTCGTCCTGTCGTCTTTCGTGTCCCTCGGCCTCCTGCCGGCTGCCGATGGGTGCACACGGACTATCTACAACCCTGCAACTTTGTACAGAGAAACAGAAATCAGCTCTTTCTGCATGTGCTGGTCAATTCCAAACCCAGAGAACAGAAGCGCTTTCTCAGAATGAACAAACATGTGAAATAGGATGTTTTGTGTAGATAAAGCATTCTTGTTACATACTGGTCAATTTGTGATATGTTTTAACTTATTGTCTGTGCTTATTTATGGAATTTGGTTTTCTTAATAAATGTTTGAGCTAATATAAAGCATATTATTTGACTTTTCCGGACAAGTTTATATCAAGTTAAATGTAAATGGATATAATAAAATCATTTTCAATATGTGATATAGACAACGATGGGCTTCGGTGTAACACTGAATGGCAGGGGGTGGGGTCATGGGAGCCCGGAGAGGGCTAGTGTGGGGGGGATCCTCCTGGACTCTCTCTACTGGCTGGAGCCCTTGGACTCTCGGTAGACCCGGCTTTACTTAATGGGCAGCACCTTGAGGCCTCCACACTGAGGCAGTGCGTTGTGGCCAGAGACAGGTGACGCAGGCACGAAGTGCCACGCTTTCCACACGAGCGCAGAGCCTTCCGAGGCTTTAGGGCCAAGCAGGCTTTGGCTCTGAGAAGGGCCCAGGGCAACACAGGGTGGAAACGCTTGCGGGGACAGTGAAAGGGAGACCGCCCCTCCGCGGTGCACGGGTGACAAGGCTGTGGGCATGAGGAGGTCAAGGTTAAAACTCTGCCTAGAGCTCTGCTGGGGCCCAGCTAAGCCCCCTTGGTTCCTGACCCCTTGGCTTCAGTGGGCCTCCCTCCAGGGGCAAGGACAGTCCAAAGAAGAGTCATGTCCAGGGTGACCTCTCCTGCCAGGCATGCTTGGTGCAAACCTGGAAGTCAGCCATGTGATCTGGGGACTTCCCTCAATAGTAGTGGAAATGGCCATAGTCTGGGAGTGAAGGTGGGTGCATGTCTACTCCCCCAGGAGTAAATGTGGGGTTTAAACTTGAGACAAACTTCATGCTTGCTTTGGAGAACTAACCAAACAGTCTTATGGTTTGAACTCTAAGGGTCATTATAGGTATTGAGAGGGCACCCCTTTTTTTCCATGGGGTGTTTCTCGTTCAGTTGCCAGTGTAAACTCTGCCAGTGTAAACGAACTACACGTAATCATTACTCAAGTAAGAGAGCACAAAGGAGCCTTCTTGAAGATGAAGACAAAAAAGAATGTTCTGTGGTAAAGAAAATCATATGTTCATGTTACTTTAGGAATTTTAGAGGAAAACCAGCGATTTTTATAGGGTATTTCAGCCTACATTTTCTAAAGAAAGCATTAAAGCAGAGAAAAACACTAATTTTGGATTTCATATTAAACTAGAACCATTCCTTGAGGCAGGGTCTGGATAGCTAGCCCAGGCTGGCTTAGAATTTGCAGTGATCTGCTTGCCTTTGCCTCCTGACTGCTGAGATTACAGGCATGCACACCATGCCAGACCAAAACAACAAAAAACAAACAAACAAAGAAAAAACCCAAACCCAGGATATTTCTGTATTCGGAATGTGCCCTAAAATTAAGCATTACAACCTTCATGTTTATAAGGCACCACTAGACGGCTGCTTGCTTTTACATACCACAGTATTCTCCCTTGTCTTGGTCTCTCTCTTTCTCTCTCTCTCTCTCTCTCTCTCTCTCTCTCTCTCTCTCTGGTACATAATCTCAAGTCACATTTAGGAAATCAGTGCAAATCACCACCAATTGCTTCACCAGTGAGCATGGAAGGTTGTTTACAAGGATGCTAATTTTACAGCTTTTTTATGCTGCTATAAAGCATAACTTTATGATGTAGGAATGCAATAAAGGATGCTAAATGGAATCTTTAAAATTTGTATTTCTCAAAGGCAAGGGGAATGGGATCTTTCATTTGAAAAAAATGGGCCAACTCCAAACACTGATGAGAAGTTGCAAATCAACTAAAGTGATAGATGTTTTCAAAGACACTTATATTTCATAATATAGTGGTTATTTGTCAACATTAAAATGAAAGCATACAGAGTTTTTCACTTAACCTGACTCTAGAATAATATTTATTTCTATGGCAATAGAGTTTTTGTATTAAGAATCCTGGGCATTTTAAAGTCATATGTGCGATTAGGGTAGGGAAGGGCTAACTTGGCTTAAAGTGTTAAGGATGACATTTAATGAAGATTAAAAAGCAGAGACGGAGATTCTCAGTCACAAGTGTGAAAGATTTTTGCTTTTTGAAGGAGAAAAAAAATCTTGACAACAGAATACTATTTCAGATTTTTTTACTTATTATAAAAATCAATTCTGACTCAAATCTGCTAATGTTATAATAACTAAAGTTAGTTAAAGACTAGATAGTAGTGAATAATGTCAGAATGTGAGGCAGATAAGCACAACGTGGTAGATGTCTAGCCTCTGATGAATTGTACTTTTTGCTCAGTAGCCTATTTGGCATCTGTCACTATACACTAGCCAGAAAAGTCAAAGTCTATTATGCTATGACTATATGATTGATTTATTTTAATACACACATTCATCCTTGTGTCTTAATTTTCTTCTCAAAATTGGCACCAAGTGCTCTATGTGACATACAAGTAATGGCATAGTAATGATGGTGCACCAACTTTTTGTATGTAATATGTAATATAGGAATGAATGCAAGCTGCTGAAGATGATGTTAGAGAGTGAGCATAAGATAGGATGCAGAGCAGTTTGGGTAAATTAAGGTACATGAGAATGTAGACTTACAGAAGAAATAGAGATGAGATTCTAACTTTGGGGCAATTTGTATGTGATGCCCTCAATGACTTTGTTCCGTGAAAATGAAAATATGTCTTTAATTTCTATTGTGGACTTTGTATTTTAATTTTTGGTATAAAGAAAAAACAACACACAAAGATGTATGTCCAACTAATGGCAGTAGTTAACCTGTCAGTTGAAAGAAGTAACCTTCCTTTTCTCCCTTTCATGACATAAAGATAATCTCATCTGAGGGCATTTATGTGAAGAAATAACAGCATGGCATGGCGAAACTACTGGCTCATTAATCCTGGCATCTACTTCCTACAGGGTTCCTTGATTAGTTATATTCATTCATCGGGTATTTCAGAGTTTTTGATTTGTCACCATTGGCTAGGTTCACTGAGTTCAGGCTAAATTGAGCCAGAAGCAATGTTTATTAGTAATTTTGTAGTACAGGGTACCCTAATAATTCAGCCCAAATATCTCATCTGAAAAATATCCATTCACTCTCGCTTCTAATGTGGGTTGCAGCTGTGTTCATAGGGAATTGAAAGAACACAAGTGATTGGGCATGTATTTTCTAAATTATTAATATGATGGCTAATAGCTGTAAACCCATCTTCGTATCCAATGCAGAAATTATGATTCATTTTAAAAAATGAAAGCAGCAACAAAGGGGGGCACCCCTGCCTGGCTTTCTGCTCTCATCAGTGCAGAGCTTTCAGTAAAGGAGCCATGGCCTATTTAGCATGTGGCCATTACAGAGAGAAGCAGAACAATGCCTTTGGCTTTTCTCGTGTGATCAAAATAAGATATGGATTCATGAGATTTACTAGAAAATAATATTAAGAAAATCAAGTATGAGTGACACAGAAGATCCTCTTCCAGTTTTGGTGATGTCAAAAATCAGTCCTTAAGCATGCATAATTAATTATTTGTGTATCTAGGCTGTGTCTTCCATTCTCATGATCAAATACCCACATGTCCAAGTTTCCATCTTTAAGGCCATACTGGATTTGCAGTACACTTGTTGCAGCTGCTCTTGCTGCCATAATCTCTTTCAGTTCTGTGCTGATATAACTCATAAGTACCAGGAAATACATAATTAACCTGCATGACATATGCAGTATATGTTCTTTATATCTTTCATTGAAATGTCATGGGGCTTTATATGCTTCTGTTCACAGTACTTACTG